CGTAACGTATACGTACTACGTAGTACGTACGTACGACGTAGAGAGTAGTAGAGAGAGACGAGAGAGTAGTACGTAGACTACTACGTACACGAGAGAGAGAGAGAGAGAGAGAGAGAGAGAGAGAGAGAGAGAGAGAGAGAGAGAGAGGAGGCAAACAATAGGGAACACCAAATTTGTGAGGAGAGAATACCCAAGTGGAAGAAATTGAAACATTTCAGCTTAAGAAGTTTCTAGCCTCATACAAGCTAGGGTTTGCATCCTATTTTCTCTCCAATGGCCTTTTATGACATTCTAGGTTAGAAAATTCTCTTCAAATTTCCATCTACTTCATGCCATTCTAGGGTTTTCCGTGTCTACTTTCCAATGTACTCTTTTGAAGCTCAAAGAAATGAAATTATAATATAGAAAAGAAAAAAAGGGAAAAACATGGGATAAAAGTCAAGTTAAATGTCATCCTAATGTGCTTTTATGGGCACACCGGATGATAGCCCTCCAGAAAATGCCACATGCCCCATCGGGCCGGTCCTATTGTGGTCTTTGCCTAGGCCCGGTCTGGCTCTCAGGCAATAGTAGCTTCCACATTTTGTGTATCAGGCCCTAGTTTTTTTTATGTACTAGATCAGCTCATTACCAACCCTTATATCCAATGGCAACGGCCAAACTCGACTCACATAGACCTAGGCGTTGAAATCAGTTCGGATCTAGAGCCCAGAACCCGCTAAATGCTCCATTACACAAAATAGATGTGTCGAGGTTCCGAGGACCAAACTCGACTCACATAGACCTAGGCGTCGAAATCAGTTCGGATCTAGAGTCCACTAAATGCTCCACTACACAAAACAGATTTGTTGAGGTCCGAGGGCCAAGATGGGCCTGAAATCTCAGCCTGGTCGCCCATCCAGGTATGCAGCCCGGCCCACGGTTCGGGCCGTATTGGCCCGGGGGGTTGCCACCTTAGGGCTATTATGGTAATTTCATTATTAACCTTTTGTTAATCCGTTTGATTTTTACACAAGGAAATTAACTGATGCCATTAACTTTGTGTTTGATTTGCTTTGCGGATTTATGAAGCAGCGGTTGCCATGAAAATGGAAGAACCAAAGCTCTGATCCACAACCCTGTTTGTTTCAACTACCCTCTCTCTCATATATAAATATATTCTTATCTTATTATCCTCTGTTTATTGTATTGAAGCTCTCTCTCTCATGGGATCTTTGTTGGGGAACTGGCCTTCCTACGACCCTCACAATTTCAGCCAGTTGAGGCCCTCTGATCCTGCTCATCCTTCTGTAAGTTGCCCTACCTTTTCTCATCTCTCTCTCTTCAATTTTGTTTCTGATTTAGTTCCTCTTAAAGTTTATTTTACTTTTCGTTTCTTGAAAGCTGACTTTTTTACTTTTCATTTTCTTCTTGTTTTTGCTCCTTAAACTGAAAAATGATGCATTTTGGGGTTCCTTAAGTGATCAATGGAGATTTTGGTATCAATTTGTGTGATCGTGGTTCATGCATGGATTCTTTAATGTTTTCCTAGTAATGTTGTTTTTTTCTTATTTTGAAAAATACTTTCTTTGATCCATTTTTGGCATGCTGAATTTTATATGGATACTAGTACATTATCTCTTTTTTTTTTTAGTTCGGTCGTGGAATGAATTTCTTTTATCGCACAGGGATCAAAGAGACGTTCTCATCCAGAAGTTTTTCCATTTTACTTGGGCACATTTCTGCCATTATCTTCTTCCTTGATTGTTTTTGCAAGTCCCATATTGTGGTTATTCATAAGATTTCCTCATTTCCTTGTCACGCGTTATGATCTTCTTGTGAAGTACCCATATTATTTCTTTCTCTCAATGAATATTTTCTGTTAGCAATCTCTTCTGTGGCTGTTCTCTGGGGTACTGTCTGGTTTGATAAATTTTCAGAACCAGTTAACTGTAAAATTTGAATGATTAGGATTAGATGATGCGCTGATTGTGCAAGCATAGACTCAGGTGAATTGTTGAATTGGACCAGTGGGTGCCTGTTGTTCTCTTGTTCCTTTGCCTTTTTCAATTTTAGTTTGGTAAGGAATAATTTGAACAATCTGAAGAAAATTGCAATGGATTACATGAATCTTCACTGAGGTAAGAAGTTTAAAGAACCCGACCCACCCTAGTAAAACCCAAGGCTTTCGTATTCTTCATGGAGTTACACCTTCCTCAGAAATGTCTTTGTAACAGTGTAACTTATGGAAACTTGACTTTCAAAGTCTCAAAACAGAGAGGGCTTTATAGGATTGAGAAGGGGTTATCTTCATTTTGATTGGTGGATGAGAAGGGACTCTTGTATCTTTTGATAAAATCGCAAAATTGCTTCTGAATTCTATCAGCATTTTTCTCCTGCCGTTTTATAGTTATCAATTTTTTTCTTTTGATACATTTATAAATTGGAGGCGATCAGAATCTGATGCTATATTAAACTACTCATTAATTATAGGCTTCATAACAAAGTTCTCGTAACGAAAGAGTGGACACGGAAATTTGTATTAAATCCAATCTCTGAATGGCTGTTAGGAATATAATACTTCCTACCTTGCAAATTTCCAAGCACACAATGGAGTGATCCTAGGAATTCGTTTTTTGAGACTTGAGACCAAAAGAACCCTTGTTTCTCAGCTAACAAGATTGGTTTATCACCTTTTATAATCTCCTCCATCCATTCGTGCCCTCGAGATAATTCGTTGAAAAATCATGGCGTTTATCACAAAGGTTGCTGTTTTTCAATATCAATAGCACATACAAAGAGGAGTGATGGTTCTTAGATTCCATTGTTTTTCCTTATTTAGCCTGACATGGATAATTGTTATGACCTGCTTAATTACATGTGATCATTCTGTTTACTGGCAGTGTAGATAGAACTAGATATTCCATTGATGAGGTAAAACATGCAGAAACATGTGAAGTGCACTTTGAAGTTATTGACAATAGTGTACATCTGGTCATCTGGGCAAACTTTTGATTAGTTGTATACCTTTATTGTTACTTGTCAATAAAAATAAAATTTTATTTTACCTGTCTTAGTACCTACTCATCCATCTCCTTCATAATCGTTGATCCTTATGTATTGTTGAAATATGTGGGAGCCATAATTGCCCCTCTAATTGATCTATAAGCCTTAAGCAGAGTCATACAGGTTTGCTCATCTAATACTGTATCTAGAGAGAAAATAAAATAAAAATCTTGTCTTGACATTTCCTATTTTTCATTTGGATAATTTGTTTTCAGTTGGCCCCTTCAGCTTAATTTAGATCTCTTTTGTTGTTTGCAAAAAAATTTCTTTAGTATTGTTTCTCTGAATGTTGCTTTTGATGTTAGTCTCTGATGGGTTTGTGATCCATGACACTTTTGTGCGTCTTAGAGTTCTGAATTTCCATTTCTGCATTTGTTCTGATATCTTTGTGAGCTCTTATTGTGGAAAACGTTATTTCATTATTCACTAATCATTATGCTCCAAGTTGTGGAATCTATGTAGTGTGCATTCATATTCACTAATTCACACACACACACATGCAAATTATTTGTGTATGTATCTATTTAGTCACATGATCTGCATATCCATATCACGGACAATGGCAGACTTTGAGCACAGTTGCACATCTTTTTTGCCGTCTGTCTTCATTGACGGACAGCAGATGTGTATGTATGTCATGGTACATTAGACCGGTTTTTGTCTTTGGTATAATTACCTTTTTATAACTATTGAGTGGCTTAAATATGTGAGGTAGAAGCTTTAGAAAAACCAACCCCCTCTTTATGTTGATACATGTTTTCTTTCTTTCTTTTTTTTTCTTTAGTTTTTTATCAACAAAGTAGCTTGTTTCTATCTTCTTATGTGACTTGAGTTTGTTTTTGTGAAAAGCACTTCTGTTTCCTTTTAATATGACTTCTTATGTTTTGACTGCCCAGAAGTTAACACCAGCTACCTATCACCCTACTCATAACAGGACTCTTCCTCCAGATAACCAAGGTAATATCTTTTTTTTTTTTGTGGAATTCAACTTGTGGAGGTATGCATATGTACGCACAGGTAGGGCTACCTCTATTGAAGTTCGAATCAAAATGAAGCAAATCCAGCAATGGTCTTCTTTTTGGTTTTGTAATTTTAGTTTTCAGCTATTTGCTTAAATCTTTTGTGCCAATTTCAAGAGAAAATTGCACTCTAGGAGCTCAAATGCCTTCTCCAAATTCCAGTGCATCGAATCTATCTTGACATCAAAATACTTGATGCAAAATTTATAGGATGGCTTCAAGTGTTGAAAATAATGACTGGCTTGAATGGACATAATCTCATTTTTCCATTGGCGCAAAGCCCTGTACTGGTATTTTTATTGTTGATCGATTCTGTTTTTTAAAGCTCAAACTGATATCTGACGTAACCACTGCCATATCAAAATTTATAGGATGGCTTCAAGTGTTGAAAATAATGACTGGCTTGAATGGACATAATCTCCTTTTTCCATTGGCGCAAAGCCCTGTACTGGTATTTTTATTGTTGATCGATTCTGTTTTTTAAAGCTCAAACTGATATCTGACGTGACCACTGCCAAGTCTAAGTCAAGTAGATAACTTGGACAAACTTACAAGGTTTTCACATTTTTGTCTGAAGAAGTTTTAATAAAATAAAATGTTTATGATGGAAGTTATTGCCCTCTTTTACAATTTCTACTGTATTGTCAGAGATCCTTGTCAAATCGATATAAAACAGTATATATAAATAAAAAGTTAGATATATCCTGAGCTTTGCATGTCCAAAATTTGCCAATTAAATTAGTTATGTTGATCTGGGTGAATTTTTCCTGCTTGAATTGAGTTTTTACTCACTTGTTTTTATGTAATTGCTAGATATGACTACACAGGAGCAGGGGCCAGATCTTTGAAATGGGGTTCTCAAAATTTTCTTGAATATTTGATTACTTTTGTTTGACAAAGATAAAGATATAGACCTTCATACTCTTGCTGTTTGTCAGTTCTGAATATGGATATATCGAATGGTTTTCCCTCAAGATGAATGGATCAAACTAATTTCAGTTGTAACAAACTAGTCATTTCATATTTGATGCTATAGCTATTGGCTTTTACCGACGGATTCATTTCCAAGCCTTAGTCCTCCATGTTATCCTATGGAAGTGTCAATAATTCTCCTTGCTTGGCTGTTGAATAGAGCTTCTCTTGTCGCTGTAGTTTTGCTTCTCTCAGTTGTAATTTATATGAGCTCCCGGTATTAACATGAGGAGAATTATCATTAAGGTGGAGGACGAAATTCTTCCTACTAAAAGAAAGTTCAAGATTTTCTGGCCTAGTACCAAATACAAACTTCTTTCTTGGTATTGCATATCTCTATTGTTTTATATATGAATAAGGCATTCTCATGTCAACACAAGGAGAATTGTCAACAAGTTGTGAGAACCCCAGGTCAAGGGTTTGGGAGAGGATGTTGATAATTTAATGCAACTGCACCATTGGTACACCTTTTGGGATGCTTTTAACTGTTAGTCTGTCATCAGCAAATCCTTATATGTTTAAGTTCAGGAGCATCGAACATGACAAGAATTTTTTTACCCCCCTCTTTCATTGAGTATGATTAAAGTAATTTCATTAGGAAACTAAAGCTCAATTGCGATACACCTACTTTTTCCCATAAATAACATTCTGGTAGCTTTCTCATAAAGTTTACGTCGGGACAGATCCACCATATAAACTTCAATGTGCCATCATGGGAAGGCAACACATATAAGAAAGCCTAGGTATACCATGCCAGTTGTTGTCTGCTCTTCAGTTGCAGGTTTTTGGCCTAGTTTAGTTGCTATTGTTGCTTCAACTTATGTGGTGAATGCATGTAGTGCAATTTGACATATAACTTCCACCAAGAAGTCAACTATCTGTCTGTAAAAAAATTCTTTATTATGTGGTTCTCGGTTCTTCACTGTAGATTTGAATGTTGCCCATTGTTTGGTTTCTTTATGCTAGCTTATCATATATTTGTCTTTTGCAGTAATTTCAACTGAAGCTACCAACATTCTTTTGAGGCAGTTTTATCAGCGAGCTGAAGAAAAGGTTTTCTGTCATCATCATCATCACATCTGTTTGTGTGTGTGAGTGAGAGAGAGAGAGATTCATTGGTGTCTCAATGTCTTTTCTTTTGCAGTTGAGACCAAAGAGAGCTGCATCGGAAAATTTAATGCCAGACCATGGATGCAAGCAGCTTAGAGGCTCAAATGCAGATGACTCCAAGCCTTATGAGTGAGTCGCATTCATCTGGAGGTCGGAAACCATATCATGGTTGGCATGGATGCATTCTTTGTGTGAACTTGTAGATATTAAGCATGCCTGATCTTTTGGTGAGAGATGTTTACCCATATTCTTAGTGGCAGTTTGTCAGAAAGCAAAGGAGAAAAATGTGAGTAACAGGAAGAGAGAGAGCAGTTGGAGTGGTTGTGCATCACCATTAGTACTATCCATTTGGGGTTTCTGTATGTAACATTGTCACTTTGCTGTATAAACCTTAAATATTGGTGATGGTTTTGGTTCAGTGAATGCTTGGATTGGAAATTGATACTCTTGCATATGACTTGATTTTTCTCTCTCAAAAAATGAAATTTGGTGGTATTTTTTGCCATAAATCAGTTCAGTAGGGAGCTAAAAGAATATAGCAGCTAGGGAAATGATTGTGGATTTTGGCCTGTCCTTAGTTTACAGTCCGTAGAGAGGAGCTCGCTCTTGTTGTTGTGTAGAAAAGCCCAGAATTGGCTCTAGGTAGATACCTAGCAATATTTACAGTGAATCATCTTGTTAAGTAGTAAATGCATTATGCTAGGAACTCCCAATTCTCTGGCAAACAAGACCATTTTTATCATTTCTTTGCATATACAAGTAACGTCTTTTGATTTCACCTGTTTTTGCCTATGCTTTCAATGTCAGTTTCAACAATTATTGTTCCTTACATTTCTTTCTAGCTGCTTGGCCTACAGTAGGTATTTGGTTTACTGCATTTAGCAAACGTAAAGTTAATGGGGAGAGAGAGATTATGCTGAACTTAGAGAGAGAGATAGGGAGAGATTATGTTAAGCTTCATTACTATTATGTTAAATTTTGATCTAGAGAGAAAATTATGCTAAATTTCACTACAATTTTGCTTAATTCATTGCAGCGTGGGTCATTATAAGCGTGAAGTTGATTGAGAGAGAGAGACTATGCTGAACTTAGAGAGAGAAACTATGCTGAACTTAGACAGAGAGGGAGAGAGATTATGCAAAATTTCATTACCATTATGCTAAATTTCGATCGAGAGAGAGAGAGAGGGAGATTATGTTAAATTTCTTTACGATTATGCCATATTTCATTGCAGCGTGGGTCGCTACAAATGTAATAGCCTTTTTGGAGGAGGTACCTTTGTGAAAACGATGCATAAAAGTAATTTCTTTTGATATCATGTAAATCTAATGGGATGGTTTTTTAGAAGTGTTGTTGCATCATACTAAGTAATGATTTCATGCAAGGGGGGTCGTATCATAGTATGATGCAACCATCTTCAAAAATAATATTAGGGCCATTTGTTTGATCCAAAATTTAAAATATACACTCTTTTCATTCCATTGAACAACAACAAAAAAGAAAAATTTGAAAACCTAATCTAAAAAGTATTTTTTTAACTCAATTAACATAGGCCGTTCATTTTGATAAGATGCTTAGATCTGAACCTTAGACGTATTTTTTCTTTTCCAATTTTCTTAGATGGTTTTATTATCATTAGATGAACAACGTTAAAAAAAAAAAAAAATGATTTTGAGTTTCTAAAGGAAAAGATCTTAAAATTCACCAAATGAATAGTCTAGATTCGTTGTTGGAGGTGAATTTTTTTTTTTAGATTGATTATTAAGATAAAGAGAGTGTGTGTGCAAAATGTTAGGTCATACAAATGCCACAAACATAGTTTTCTAGAAGTGTGGTTGCATCATAATACAACCATTGCATGAAATCATTGCCCACATCTAATAATTTACAATGATGCCAAGAGATTTCATGTTCCCTAGGGATACGCTATACATTTACTATCTCAAACTCAATCTAGGGATATTTATGGATTTGAGACTTCGGGGATGTAACCTCTTTAATTCATATGCTGTACTCAATAATTTTTTTTTTTTCCATATTTTATCCGTAGTGGCTTGAAAAAAAAAATGCATTGAATAGAAACCGCTCAGTTTTTTAATGGGTTAGAAAACTCAAAATTCAAGTTTTTCTTTTGAATATAATCATCTAATAATTTAGGCGGTTCTCACAATTTTGGATTAGAAAATCTTCCCAGTTAGTCTTCTATTAGAGGGAGCTGGTGTACAATATACTTCTGCAGAAGCATAGTATACACACTGGCTTGCCCTGTGATTTTACTTGTCAACACATAATCTTAGATAAAAGCTCGTGTGAGGTTTCAACCTTAAACAATCAAAATGAGATGCACCTCCAGAAGCAAAATGTTGGGAAAAAAAGATATGAGAGAAAACAGTGGGGAAAAAAAGATATCAGAGAAAACATGTTTTACAATTTAATTTTTAGAAGAAGAACAAATCCATCCACTTACGGTGGAGCTAAAGTAAAAAACACAAAATCTCATGAGCTCCAATTTCTTCACGGAGAATTTCTAAGGGTGTGGTTTGTTAACCTTAAACCATCAAATTAGATGCAACCCCCCAAATTTTATCATAACATGTAATTTTAGTGTGAATTATTTTTAAGATGATCTGAAAATCTATTTTATTTTAATTAAAAAATTTTAAACTCTAAAATTAGTTCAAATCCTATAAACATATGAAAATCTTGAAAATAGACTAGTTCAGGTAATGTCTCGCAAGATGTATTATTTTTGAGACTCAAAATCCTTTTTTGTCTTCGTATTCATACATCTCGATGTTGAGATGATTGATTAAAAGATTTTTCAATATTAAAACAGCATTTTTCGATGGATATTTGAGGTGCACCTTAATTCTACGTTATAAGGATGCACCCCTTGTATAAACTATTTTTCAATTTCCAAGGGGCTTTTCAAGAGAAAGCAAAGACTAATGAAAATAAAAACCGTGTAACTGGAAACTTCTCCTCACCTTCTTGGATAATACACAACCAATATCGCCACAAACCCAAAATTTCGGCGAAAAAAACCCTCAAGACCTGCGAAACACGCCGAATATCCAAAAGGTCAAAAAAAAAAACTATAAGTACTTCTATTCTTCTTCGCTAAGCTCCCTCCCACTCCCTCTCTCTCAAACCTTGAACTGCTTTTTCTCCCTCTTAAGCCTCAGGCTTCGAGCAATAAGCTTCTCGTTTCCCTCTCTAAAACCCTGCAAGATAAGAGCTCCTGCGTGCCTTTGAGAATGGCGCTCCCATATATGGAATCCGTTGTTGGTATGATACTTCACGGCTTCTGTAAAGAAATAATGCTTATGTTTTTGTAGTTGTTTGTTTGAACTAATAGTTTTTGAATTTGATTAGGCTGATTTTCATGGTTATTTGTTTCTTTTTTATTTTATTTATTCATTTTCTTTCCGGATAACATGTTTCGTTGTCAATGATCAAATAATCATTTTATTGAAGAATATGATTCTCGTGTGTAGCATTTGAACTTCTGAAAGTCGCAGAAACTCGTAGGATTTTATGTAATTGTTTCTTTGTTCTGTTGTATCTTGATCTAAACCTTTTCACAAATGTTTTGACTCTACAAAGCCTTTTATTTCCTGGGATAATCCTCCGTTTCAAGTTAAATTTATAGTTAAAGAAGGCACCAATTGGGAAAATAAATAATTTATTGAGAAATTTGATACTAAATATACTTATTGGATCGTTTTATCGTTGGTTGAATGTGTATGGTATTTTTTATTTTGTATGTCTTGCCTTCTTGGAGAAGGAAGCTGCTTAACCATTTTCAATTCTAATATTTAGATTAACTCAGTCTGGTTTATTTTTTTATTAATTTCATGAGTGTAGATGCTTCACTATCTGAACTATGAAAGGGACCAATTATAAAAAATAAGAAAATTGCAAATGACCAATCAGAAAAATTTCATCGGCAACTTCATGCGTATTTTGCTCTCCTTGTAGAAGGCCCTAATAGCTCCTGATTACTGTTATAAGAGCCACTAACAAACACTGAGAAGTTCAGTAAGAATGTGCGTCTTGAAGTCAATGCTAAATAAGAGCATAATCTACTTGAAGAAGGATTTGTTGAGAATAGTGTGGAGGTGAGCCGGAGTGTAAAATTTTGTGATGGTAATACGCTCGGAAAATTACTTTTTTGTGTATTGAGACTCTTGTGGGCTTATTTAGAGGTTGGAAGTTGTTGCCCAAATATGCGATTGGGTATGGGCTTTGCAGTTTGTTTCTTTAGAATAGATGCTAATAACTTGTATTTGTGTAAGAGTGATATTGATTGATTAGTCCCTTTCCTTCAGAAAATATGTCATAGACAGATAGCTTGCGGCACTATGTGCTCAATGGGCTCATGGCTTGGCTCTGAAGTCCATCAAGTTTTTTTTTTCTTGACAGCCTATTTCCCTCGAGTAATTCCTTTGTGAAGTGTTCCATTACTCTGTATGGAATATCAAGGACAGATACATTTGAGTTTCTAGCTAGTAGAATTTGCATTCCTGTTGCTCTATTTAGGCTTATTCACACTTAAAGATGATAACGTTCATTGCCTATCATCTGAAGAGCAAACTTCTATATTTTCCTTGTGTTGATGAGCGATGTTACATATTAAATTTAATGGGTAGAGTGTCTGCTACCCAGGCCTATGGTAAGTGGTAAAAAATGGAGTAGGTCTCCTGGACAAGTTGCTGTCTTCTTCTCCATTTTCTTGTCCTATAAATGAAGCATAATTTGTAAATATAAGAGAAAATATGTTTGCAAAATCCAAGTCACTCTTATGAGAAAGTAGATCTTTAGAGTTCCAAATACTATATCTTGGCTATCTTTGGTTCCTGAACAAGGACATCACAGAAATCTCAATAGATCTCCTCTTTGAGTCAAGGAGGAGAGGAGTTGCAGGTTATTTTGGTTCAATAGAAAGACATATGCGGTAGGAAAGCTGATGGAGAATGGGAATTGGGTGGTAGAAGGCAGAAGGCAGAAGGCAGAAGGCAGATGAGGTTTGGCCATTGGATAATGAGGAAAGTCAACAAGCAATACTTGGTAGTGGCCCTGGAGGTTGGAGACAGAGTTCTGGAGGAAGTTTTATGTGGTGAGGTACCTCCAAGCCTTGTGGGCAGTGGTTGGCATGTTTTTTGGTCGACCACAGCCTTATTTTTCCAGCCTTTTTTGGGTTAGGTCAGCTTGTTTTATGGGATATCTAAGGTGACAATGGATAGGGACTGTTTGGCAGATTATTATGACAAATAAAATTGGGTTTTTTTGTTAAAAATTAGGAACCTTACAGGTAATGATCATTCCTCAGGGCAGCGCATCGAAGGTTTTGGATTCGGGAGACTTCTTTTGTAGAGTCCTTTGTGATTCTGAGTATGGTGACTTTTCAGGGAGTTTGTTTTGCAAGCATTAAAGCCCTCGAATGTGGTGGCATTTGGACAGGGGTGTATGTCGTAGATAAGATTTTCATCGTCAAACATATCCACAATAGGCGCTAGTTTCCAATGTTTTGTTTATAGATTTGTGAACAGTGGTATTTTACTTCTGCATTATGAATCAGCGTCAGGGATACTAATTACTTCTTGTTCTCTGTAGGACCTCCTATGTTCTTCCAGAAACGTTTACCAAAATACTTGATGTATTAAAGGCGGTCTCCTTGGACAAGTAGGCAGTGCCTTGAGACACCAGAGGCCCTTGTAACTCTGCCTAGGCCCAGGTGGCCCACCTTGGCTGGGGTAATACTAGGTGGGCGCTGAGGTGACCTAGAAGCTGCCTGGCACCTAAGCCAAGGTGTCCATCTGGGATGCTTTGTGTGTATATGTGTGTGAGTGCACATACACATGCTGTCTGTCGTTTGTATGTGTGTGTGTCTGCATTTGTGTATTAGAGAGAGGGATTTTGCTGTATGTGTGTTGGGGTGTGTTTCAGAGAGATTGCGATTATGTAGTGTATGTATACTTGTTGTATTGTGTGTGAGTTTTGTTCCTCTCTCTCTGGCTTTCACTCTTCAGCTATTAATCTCTTTATTCAAACAATGCTTGATCTCTCTTGGAAAATGGAGGGTTTGTGGGTATGTTATTGTTCTCTCTTCAATCAATCCTCTCTCTCTCTCTATAAATGGGGCGGGGAAACTTAAAAAAAAAAAAAAAGTGATGTCCATGGCTTTCATGTCTATTAAGACACAGGGAATAATTTGCTTTTTTTTGTACTTAAATTTTGGGAGCAGTTTGTGTTTTTTTGAGATTTGTGTGTCACGTTTCTTGCGTGTGTGAATGGAGAAACAATTGAATCCTTAGAGTAAGACTGGTTGGCTTTGGTGGAAGATATTAAACGGAGAATTATCTTGGGTTTTATCTAGAAAGGGTGGATTGTGGAGTTTCTAGTTGTAGAATGAGAGATTATTGAATGTTAAATATCTCTATAAGAGGCTTAAGGAGGTTTGCTGAAGTCCTCCATATGGGATCTCCGAGCTTTCCTTTAGCAACAATTCGTTTGACAACCTAGATCTTCCAGTTCTCATTTAACTTGGTGCGGTTGAGAAAGTTTTTGGTGGGTTAGAGAGTTTTTGTGTGGTGGTGTGGCAGACTCTACGAAGGTAAAAACTAAAGGACTGTTCATTGGACTGATAATTTTTTTGTCTGTTTCTAGCAACCACAGTAGGAGGGGAAACTATAAATGAAATAAATTGGGCCCTTGGATGATTGCAGATGTCATAGAGGAGATGTTGGATCTTATTCATTGCAAATTTCCTTTCAGCATGTGCACAGATAATACAGTGAAGTAGTTGACTTCTCTCGGCTTGGTATAGAGTTTCGGAAATAGGTTTGATTAGGAGTCGTCAGCTCTGCCCCCCACCCCAACCACCAAAAAAAAAAACGAAAGAATCGATTTTATTCTTCCTATGAGTAGGGAGTGATTGGATTATTTGTACTTTCATGTGCTGCTCTGATTTACTTCCATGATGATAATGTGCTGCTGTTATTTTTCTCACTTTGTGAAAGAAATATAATCTCTTGCTTTGCATATTACAAGTTACAGCTTCATGATATTTCAACGAAATGCATGCAATTTTGCGTTGTCTATTTGTAATAGATGGCTATATCCATCGCAACTTATGGATTGAATGCAGGATTTATGGTCTTGATGTACATTTTTGAGACATATCTGGACCTTCGGCAACATGCAGCCCTTAAGCTGCCAACCCTTCCAAGGCCTTTACATGGGGTTGTGAGTCAGGACAAGTTTGAGAAGTCTCAAGCTTATAGCCTTGATAAAAGGTTCGTCAATAGTAAAGAAATCAGTTTGTTTCCTTCTAGTAATTTTTTTCTTTCATTGTGTGTATTGCACCCCTGATGATCTTCTCTCTGTAGAACTCATTCTTAATAGCTATTTATTTGATGTTTTGCATGCTGTCTAGCTTACAACTTATGAATTAGTGATAAAATATTATATTGTTTTGCTTTCAGCCATTTCCACTTTATACATGGAGTGGTAACCATAGTAATGGATGTCTCAATTTTGCTTTTTGGTGTTTTGCCTTGGTTTTGGCAGGTGAGTCCACCTTTATCACAATTATGTTGGTTGGTTTTCCTTCATTGTTCAGCTTGGGTTTTTAATCATTTTCATGTTTAATGTCCTTTCCTCTCAGAAATCAGAAGCAGTGTTGGTGTACATGGGTTTGAATCCTGAGAATGAGATAGTCCATACACTTGCATTCTTGGCTGGAGTAATGCTTTGGTCACAGGTGTTATTTTCTTGGCTTTGAACTCTTACAATGTTTTTGTAAATGAGTGTGATGCAGATCATAACTCATGCGTTATTAATTTGCAGTTCTTACATGCAGATAATGAGAAACAGCATGTCTTTTGGGCATGTTGCACATGCCCACTGTATATGTCGTGAAGATGTATTATATATGCTACATAAAGTATCAATGTTTGTAATATGTACACTTATACCCTATATGTAGTTCCATATTTGCCTGTTTGCTTATTGTCATGCATGTATTGTGCATTGCACATTGTTCAAACAACATTAATTTAATTAAATTAGACAGTACATAATTAAACAGCTATATACTTCCCAAGTTACTTTACGAGATTTTCCATTTATATCTGTGTGTGTGTCCATATGAGAGAGAGAGAGAAAGAGAGAGATAGAGAGAGATGAAATGAAGATCAATATGACAACCTTCACAGTAATTTGTCCCCCTTGTGTATCATGCCCGATTATACATGAGAGAGAGAGAGAGAGAGAGAGAGAGATAGAGATAGAGATATAGAGAGAGAGGAAATAAGATCAATATAACAAGCCTTACTGTTAATTGTCACCCTTTCATACGATGCTTGTGTATGTATGCGCCTGTACCTGTATATTTGAGGAACAACATTAGTTCTGGGTAATTCTTTGTGTTGCTTCCGATTGTGCTGTAGTAATGTCTCCGAAGCCTTCCTAAGGATGAATACAAGTATGCGGTTAGCCTCATCCCCTTCCCAGTCTTCTCTGGAGAATAATGATGCGCCCCAATCATGTGATCACCCTGAAGATAACCTCTTGTGCTTTTAGATCACTTTGCTGCACATGTTTTTCTGTATGGGAGGTATGGGGAACTTGGGATTTTCTATCTTTGGACATTTGAAACTGGTATCATGCAGCGGAGAGCCAGGCAGGAGATATCCTAGAAAACTCTGATCTATCTAGGGATGGTTTAGGTTGTTGGAACTTCTAAATATCTGCTACCTTAATTTGTTTTCCCCTCGATACACTTTGTATGTGTTTTTTCCCTAAATGTACAGTTAGTCATTATGAAAATATCTCACATTTTCCTGACTTGAGGATTTCCTCAAGTTGGTCTAAGAAGGTAAGGACCTTAAACTTTCTCTTAACTCGTCCCAAGCCAGGGTAAATGAGGTGGATTGTGTTAGGTAGGCAGCCACTGTAAAAGTTTGACAAAACTTACTATGAATCCGGAATGGCGGATCAGGATTCGAGTAGCCGACTCCAACTAGTTGGGAAAAGGCTTTGGCAATGATGATGATGATGAGGGTTTGATTTTATCAAGTAATGAATTAGATTTTTTGTATAATTAACTAGTGATTTTAAAATTTGTCGTCTTTTTGTCATTCATTTGGAACAGAGGAGAACCTGTATCGTTTTAGAATAGGAAACATGATCCCTTTTTCTGAACGCTAGTAGTTTTTTTATTTGCCTATTAGATCTATTAATATTCACTTTTGTTTCTTATCATCTTCTATATTTGAATTTTTTTAAATTAATTTTATTTTCAACTTCCCTATTCTTTTTTTTTTTGTGAATTGTTGCTATGAAATAAGGACTGATAGTCTTTCCTTTGTTGGTTAAGGGATAAGCAGCACATGAAGAATAAGAGAAAAACACGTTTAGATTGGCATAAATGTCCCATAACCCAAGTCTGTTCCTTAATGCATCCTCAATAGTAAGAATTTCATACTCGAGTAGTGTTCCGTTCATTAAAAGAATTTCATACTCGAGTAGTGTTCCGTTCATTAAAGTGAATATCTCTCGATGATTACTAATGCAAAGTTTGGAGTGTTGCACAACAAAGCATTAGAGTTGTAGTTCGACCCGCTTGATATTTATCATGAGCCATGCAACTGTAATGCTTTCAGTCCTGTGCATTTAATTTCATTTTATTGTTCCTGTTTCTTGTCTATGTGTATTTTCATATGTGTGGGTGTGTATGAGCAGTAACTTTGTAAGCAAAGAGGCTACAGGTCTAAAAAGCGTCTGCATAACTAGAGGGCATCGCTCCAGGCTGCATATGCAGGAAACTGTGACATGCGTGCATATGCGGCACATCACTCGCATATTCGGCTGCATCACATCACGAGTGATGTGCTCGCAAATGTGCTGTGTTTGTGGGCGGAAAATAAGCCCACGAGCATGGGCAAAATTGTCTTTTTTGCCCTAAAAGAGGCAGGGAAGGTTTTGGAAGGTAAAACATCTTCCCCCCCCACCCCCCAAAAAAAAAGACCAAACCCAAAAAAGAAAAACACACACATTAGAACCATTTTACACTGTTCTTAGGTCATTTAAAATAAAAAATTTCTAACTTTTGATTTTTTCCTGAAATTAAGAGATTCTTTTGACTATCCTCGAGATAGTTTTGTGCATTATTTGGAAGTTACTTGGGCAAAGATTCACCAACTAGTTGAGGGTTTTCAATGGCTGAGTAGAAATCAGAATTTATTAGGGTTGTTTAGTAACTAGAGTTCAGCATGGAAATATGCTAAACCCAAAGGATTGAGATTGCGTTGTTTGTAGTCTACGTCAGTATACTTATATGGGGGGTTATTTTCCGACATAAAGAATTCCTAGCCGATATTGCCAGGAATGTTAAAGCATACCAAGAAGCAACAGTGAGATTGAAAGAGAGCTTAGGACATACATGGATTGTGAAGAAAAAGCAAAAGAAAAGAAAAAAAGAGATAAAAAGAATTGATGGAAGAAATTCAAATGTTTGATGACTTGTCTGATTGAGAGTTGGTTATCTTTTTCTTTTATATGTCATAACCTTTTGGTCTTTGTCTCTTTTGGAGTTTAAACTTTAAAGTTTGGAATTTTGGATATATTAAGTGAGATGCACTGCATTGCTTTGTTTTACACGTCAATTATTGTTAGGCATTTAAAATATTAAACATTAGAAGTTAATATATCATAGATATTGAATATATATATACTATCACATAAATTCCACCTTTTTATTTCTACGCATTAGTATATTTTTTGTATTTAAATTTTTTTTTTTTTTAAATTTATTGATTGCATTAGAGGTGATGCGCTCTCATTGGGAGCGCACCAAGCCCCATCGCCCCCCCCTCCCCTCCATGGCATCAGGTCCGCATTTTGTAATTTTAAACATTGCAGGGAATAACTACCATCTTTTAGAGGCATGGCTCTCTCAAACTCAAGTTTTACCTCTTAAAAAAAAATGGTTCCAAAACCCGGTTCCAAAACCCAGTTCCTTCTATGTTGCACTCTGAATTAGATTATCTTTGTGCATGTCTGACACTACTTAAACTTGATGACTAAGTTACATTCTTCTGTAAAGGAACTTTTAAGGAAAAAATCTTATGTAAAAAGAGCCATCAATTTCCTGAGGGATAGGATCCTCTCGTTGAGGTAATTTATTACACTAAGAGACTGCTTCTTCTACAATGGCTTTAACAAGAAACATTAGCATTTATAAGACAAGTAATTTATCCTTTTCAGGTCTTTTACTCCAAGGGCAGGTCGATGCATGTGTGTCAGCTAAGTTGAATATGCTACCCTGAGAAAAACCCTTATAGCACCCTAATGATGCCACCAGTTGCATCAATGTTGTCATGTTTGCTTAGCTTTGGAGGCTGAAAACTTTTGCTTCAGCCTTGAGTATGCAATAAAGAAGATTGGAAAACCCTTTGACCAGCTGGATTTTTTTCTGGTCCTTGTTCACTGGAATTCTTGGGGAGAAAGTTGGCCTTAGAAGGATGTTAGATTCCTCTGTAATCCAGATTTGTGGCTTAGGGGGGTGTGTGTGCGCGTGTGTATGTTGGATGTTGGTTGAGTTTAATGGACCCACTCTTTTAGGTACTAGATGATTTTTTTCATGTCTTTAACTTAACATGTAAGTTATTCTATAAATAATTTAACCTTGGAAACTGGGTTTCAATTGTAAAGTAAAAAGGATTACCTCTATTCAAAACCTGTGGTGGTCTTAGCTCGAAATTTCCAATTATAAAGATTTATAGCTGCAGGGTCTATGATATATTCTAGTCACCTTTCAATATTTATAGCTCTAACACTTCTCTTAGTAATTGAAGTTCTTACAATCACTAGTTAAATTCAATGTTGACAATATATGGAGATTATTTTGATATATGACTATAAGTATGAATGACTATTGACTTCTTTTAGTAATTTATATAATAGGGATTACAATGGTTGAGTGATGGTTGAGTTGCTTAGACTCAATAATTGATCAAAATAGTTTTGATGGCTTCAATTGATTTTAAGTACGATCTATATTTTCAATTTATTGGTTAACTTTTCTTTAATAAAAGCTAAATAAATTGTAAATTATAGCATTGTCTTATAAATTTCATTTTCTTCTAGAATATTTTACTGGGGCCAGCACTTTTCACTTTTTCTTTCTTGCCAAACTAAAGCTGACACGTAAGTGAAATTCAAATCATTGATTTCCATTTCCAGTGGCTGTTAGCATACCTAGCTTTTCCTCAGTCCTTTCTTGAAATTTGAGCGACCATCGACTTAGGTTTTCATGGGCTACTAGGATGGTGATTTGATGCCTTAGTAGGCATTATCTTTGGTCCAAAGTGTTCGTTGACATCCCCTTAGCCTTGTTCTCCATGCATCTTATTCTTTCCATACTCGGAAAGTTTGTGTTGTAGTTGGTAGCGGGTCTTAGTGATCTTGGTTGTACCATTCTTTTTGAGAGATTCATGTTTCCCATTGTCTGGTGTCTTGAAATGATGTGTTCATTCCACCCAAATGCCTTGAAAAGAGGGTATAAATATGGCAAATTGTGTATCAGTTATTAATCAAATCATTGCATAAGATCCTTCAAAGGGGAGGTGATAGAGATCCCTAGGTTGCCTTGCTTGGATAACCAGGCTCACTTCTTGCCCTCATTTTACCTCGTCTGGCTACTCTTGATAAGATCTTAATTACAGAACATTGAATTGAATCCTAACGTATGGAGCTTGAGGGATCTGTGAACTATCTTGCCTTACTGTTGCTCCTTTCTGAGCAAGATTTGGTATTTTATCTTGAGTCTGTGAAATTTGATGGGTGATACTAGAGCCAATAAGTCCTCATCGGCAACTAGTTAAGTGCCTTGTTATTGAAGAGGATGTGGTAGCTTTGGAACTCGTGCTTTATGATAATCTTTGGGCTCATTCGGCAAGAAGTTAATAACAAAAGATTTGGTTAGATTTATGTTATAATGAGAGGAAGTGTAGGGATTTGGATCATGTTAAATGCTTTAAGATTGAGGATCAAAGGGTCTTGGTGAAGAATGGCGAGGTCAATGAAAGGTGCATAATTTATTTTGAAAGTTTGTTAAATGATAACTACTCTAGGGGCACAGTGTAAGGAGGAACCTTTGTCATAAATGAGTCAAGGGTCATCGACACCCTCGTTACATTAGGATATCTAAAGTGAAAGTAGCTTTGAAAAAGATGAAGTTAAGAAAGGCTTTAAGATTAGATGGTAAACCAATAGAGGTCTGGAGACTGGAAGTGCATGGGAGAGAGGACATATTCTACTTGACCAAGCTGTTCAATATGATAGGGTACCGAGAGAGTTAATTTGGTGGATGTTGAAAAAGAAAGGAGTTTCTAAAGGATATATTAACATTGTGAGGGATGTATACAAGGGAGCACTAACTAGTGTGAGGACAACTAGTGAAGAGACAAGCAAGTTTTCAGTGACAGTAGGCTTACATTAGGGGTCAACGTTGAGCCCATATCTATTCTTTTTAGTTATGGACAAGTTAAGTAGGCTTCTATAAGATGAGGTCCCGTGGTGTATGTTGTTTGTGGATGGCATATCATTCATTGATGAGACTAGAGATGGCATCACCTCAAAGTTAAAATTTTGGAGGGATGCTCTAGAATCTAAACATTTGAAAATTAGCCGGATTAAGACAAAATATATGGAATGCAAGTTTAGTAATAATAGGATTAGAAAAGAGGAATTAGTTAAGATTGCTTGTCAAAAAGTACCTAAAAGGGATTATTTTTTATATCTTGGGTCGATTGAGAATAGAGACATTGAGGAAGATGTCACGCTTAGAATTAGAGCTTGGTGGATGAAGTGGAGATGTGCTTTTGGAGTCTTATGTGATTGCCTCATACAAATAAAACTGAAGGGGAAGTTCTATAGTACGATTGTAAGAACAACCATAGTTTAAGGAACGGAATGCTAGGTAAAGAAACAACGTATCCGTAGAACGAGTGTAGCTGAGATGAGGAAGTTGAGATGGATGAGTGGCAAGACTAGGAAGGATAGAATATGGAATGAAAACATCCAAGGGAACTTAGGATTACTCCAATAGACTATAAGATGAGGGAAAGTAGACTTTGGTAGTCAGACCCTGTACAGTGTTAACCTAGAACAACACCGGTTAGAAGGGGTGATTTGGTTCAAGTGGAAGACTCTAAAAGGGTGAGGGGAAGGCCCAAAAAGACATGGATGAAAATAGTGAGAAGGGATAGCGTGACTTATGTTCTAACTGAGGGTATGACCCTTGATGGGGTGGAATGGAAAAAAATAATTCGTATAGCCGACCCTAAATGGTTGGGATAACGCTCAGCTGCTGCTGCTGCTGATGATGATGATGATTTTTTAGAGAGGGATCAAGGATTAGGTATTCTCATGACCGGTGGTCTAGAAGACGTTCCATGGTTCTAGAATTGAGGGCTTGATTCTAGAGTGGACATTAATAGATTATGGTACAATCCTCAAATTTAAACTTAGCACCAACTGTCGTAAGTTCACGAGGTTTCCTGAAGCTTAACTTTGACTATAACTCCTCGGGAAGCCTGGTCCAGTAGAGGTGTATAGCTTACTTGCAGATAGGTACGCAGAGAAAAGACCCTTTTCAGGCTGGCAGGCATGTATTGAGTTTTTTGGAGGCCCATGAATCTGCGTCTGATTTTGTGTACGAGTTCTTTTGTGGATCAAAATGTTTTAAGGAGTGCGTGAGCATTGGTTGTCTACTTTAAATGATCATGGACCTCTACGTGGTGCATACTTCAGATCCAATTGGACTTATGCCAAATACATGATTGATTGATGCCATTTGATAGAAAAGTAGTTACAAATATGGATATCAAGCATTTGGACAACCTTATGTCTAGATTTTGACCTGCTTTGTTGAAAATTATCGTAAAAGCAATACATTTACTCGCCTTTTGTCTTTGCATTACGTCAAAGGCGTAGATGAGGAATCTCCCTATGTCTTCTTGGGATATCTATTGCGGATATCTATTGCGGAGATCAGCAAGAACTGGCTGTGACCTAATTTCCTGTCCAAGGCTGCTTCTGGAGAGGGTCAGACTATGAAATGATCTTACGTGTGAGAAATATGGAAACAAAGCTATTCTTAGTTTACCTCTGTTTTTCATTATTTGTCCTGCAAAAGCTTGTCTCTTTCCACTTTTTTTTCTTTATTGCAAGATGTGCCTTACCATTCTTTCTGTAGGCATGTTAGCAAACTATTGAAGGATTTTTCATATTTGAGTTATCTGAGAACAGGATCTGTACTTTCCAACCAGTTTAATAGCAGAATAGCATATTTTAAGAGGTTTCTAGTATGCAATTGTGTCTGCTTCTTCTTTCTTAGGTTGGGATAGCTACTCTTTGTCCTCTGTCATGTTCATTGGTATTGTTTAGTATTGTTTACTTAATGGTAGGTATTGTAACTCTCCAAAAAATAAGGAGAAAAAAATGATAGCCTATGCCAGTGTTTGGCCTTAAATCAAGTGTTTTCACTAGTTTAGCTTTCTTTTTAGATCTTCTAATGTTTTTAGCTGGTTGTTGTCAATAAGCAGTTTGTCTCAGATTGTTTTGCTGATATGGGAAATTGAATATTCATTTTTCTTTTCAAATGATTTATTTTTAGAATATCCTGCAATTGAGTTGACGGATCTCTTATGGGCCATAATAAATCGTGCAGATTACTGAGCTGCCATTTTCGTTATATTCAACTTTTGTAATTGAAGAGCGCCATGGCTTCAACAAGGTATCCCTTATACTTTTTCCAGTATAGGCCCTATTTAATATTTAATATCATGATGAATTCTTTGGTTATTGGAGCATCATTGCAAAAATTTCTTCATTTTGCCTTTTGTATTTTGATTGAACAACTCATGTTTATTTTTGTTTTTATACTGGCAGCAAACAATATGGTTGTTCTTTAGGGACATGCTTAAAGGCATTGCTATTACTATTGTAATTGGACCACCAATTCTGGCGGCAATCATTGTGATTGTGCAGGTACTACTTTGCTTTTCAGCCTGCTGCAATTGCTGGAAATTAAATTAGGTTGGAATAGTCTTCCATGTTTATTGAATATGTTGATTACAGTATGTACTGTTTCCTAAGGTTCCAAATCTTGATATCCAGATATTGCTAGGATTTGAGTCCAAATTTTGACTTGAAATTTATTAAATCTTATAGATAAATCCATTTATATATGTGTGAGATTTTAAGTAATCTGAAGAGAATTGGCACGCGTTCTACTTGTGGTGTTAGTTCATTTTCTAAAAGTACATTTTCACAAATAAGATAGGTGCAAATCTTGCTTGAAATCCTTTGGCAGCAAATATTAATGGAAATTCAAATTGCAGATTTATAATTAGGCAGACCATGATAGAGTGTTGCCACCATTACTTTTAGAACTGAAAGAGAACCATTTTTACTTTAAGCTAATTCAGTTTGGGGTGAATAGTTGACTCACCTGAGTTCTGAAGGGACACTGACAAGTCATATGAGTGGCTTGTGTATGGGTTACATGCTAGTATGTTAACAAGATCAGTAGTAATTTTGTGGAAATGTGCATCTTTTTTCCATTATTTTTATGATGTTTATGCTATATGCGGTCTTTTAAAGTATCACTCGAATGGTTGTTTTGGATTGGATGGCTTGCTATAGTTTTGTCAAGGAAAACTTGAATAATTATTCTCTTTATGGTATTGTGCTGCAGAAAGGAGGCCCATACCTGGCGATATATCTATGGGGCTTCATGTTTCTGTTGTCTATTTTGATGATGACCATATATCCTATTTTGATAGCTCCCCTGTTCAATAAATTCACAACTGTGAGTATGCTATACTTATCTACAGGAACCTCACTAGTCACTGAGAATTTGGCAGGCTGTTTCTAGTGTCCCAATAAAAATCATGAAACCCTTATTTTGCTTAATATTTATTAAAGTGTTACATTTAAGGGGTTTAGTGCACTTCTGGTGTTCTACCTGCTACTTTTTTTGTCTTGTATTTGATTGACATTGTTCTGTCTTTACTTTCTGGTATTTTATAAAATATAGCTCCCTCAAGGAGAACTTCGGGAAAACATTGAGAAGCTGGCTGCATCACTGAATTTTCCTTTGAAGAAGCTGTTTGTAATTGATGGATCGACAAGATCAAGCCATAGCAATGTAAGCTTTTGTCTTGGATCTTTTCACTTCTGTAATTATTGCTTGCACAGGTTGTTGAATCTCACTATTTTTAGTCTCACTACTGTTATATGTTTTTGTTCTTTGTTGTCAGGCATATATGTATGGATTTTTCAAAAATAAGCGGATAGTGCTATATGATACATTGATTCAGCAGGTATGGAGCTCTTCATATAAAAGTTCGGTTTTTGTAGTGAACTATAGTTGAATAGTTTTGTAGCATTAAGTTAATTGTTTATAAATAAGAAAAAGAAGGAAGATGAACTTCTGGACTTTGCAATGGGGCCTGTAGTTTTTTAACATTACTCAATCCTTGTGAGATACGAAATCAATTAGTCATGGATTACATGTTCAGATCATGTTTTCTATAGGAATTATAGATGGAAGAGAAGATGCTTAAGGTGACAACTAATTCTGTAACTCTGAGTCATGCCTATGTAAACCCATATTTGCCTATCTATTTTCGAGTGCTTTTACCTTCCAGACCTATGACTAACGTCCAAATTAGTGTACTTGAACTCGGTGGCCAACTTGGTCCTCACCAAAACCTGGTTGGGTGACTTTTTTTAAATGAATAGTTCAAAAAACCACAAAGTGTACATGGTGGGATTCTAAACCTGCTCATCACCAAGACAACGTAATTCTATCACATTCGAAATGCAATTTACATGACTGTAACAACCAGAGCATTATAAATAACCAATACCTGTGTTTTTTATTTATAAAACTCGTCCATTAAGCGGTTAAGTTGATTCAGTGAGTTGTTATGGTCGAAAATGGCATTCTATTCACAAGACAATAGAATTCCAATTTTTTTTAACAATTCAGATGATGAATCGGCATTGTTCTCCTATGTTATCAAGCATGGTACCAGTGCGACAGTTAATCGGGGGAAAAAAATGTTCCGGACTGTTAGTGAGACCTCCTGCTTAACATACTGTCACTGCCAAATTTTTTTGAGTTCCTCTCTGTGTTTTAAAAAGTTTCCCAATCTTTAAATTTTTTAAGAGTGACCCCTACAAACTTCACAATTGTTACCTTGTAACCATCTGACTTTGTTTTCAAGTGGCTCTTAAATGCAGTACTGATAATAATACTACCCTTGCAGAATCACCGTGGTTTGGACTGGCATGCTCTACCACAATCTTCTTTGTGACCACCTCTTCCACATTTTTGGGAGTTGGTTTAACTTCATCACAACCATCACATTTTTTGTCCTCTCAGATGCCTTTGTATCAAAAATACTGTCTGTGCCTCAAATTCATGTGCTAAATTTCTCTATCCATTTTAAACTTTCCTAATTTTGGCTAGAGGGGTTGTAGCAACAAGGGTTTCCTATCCTAGTATTGGTTCTTCCCGAAAGTAACAGTTAAATGTTGAATTCAGATGTCTGGTTGACTCGTGCTTATTTAATTGCACCCATCTTTTTTTTAGTGTTTCATATAGGTTGTGATCCCCCTGTTAACATCAGGCATAACTTGTAAACATTCTTCTGTTTTTTTTTTAATATAGAAATTGCATGTTATCATTTAATATTTTGGGTCAAGATTTGAGAATATGTCCTTAGTTTCATTACAGATACATTAATTTCTTCTGGTGAGGGAAGGGAACAACAGATTACAATATGTGGTCAACATGAAATAACAAACGGACTAGTAAGCTTGTCCTTTATAAATCTGGAGTTTGCGCTAGAATGGTATCCAAATCCAAGTCGAGTGTTTTAAGAATGATGGAAATAAAGAAATACAAAAATATAAGAAAATTTGTGGATTTATATAGCTTTTGAGTTTTTGAAAATAAACAAAATTTCAAGATAAGAGTTATTAGTCCTCTTAATCTTATTTTTTGAAACCCGCCAAACTTTTCTATATCTCTATGGGGACAAATGAGCGAAATTTCTCCAAACCGAGGATTCTCCAAATAAAACTCGTAGTTGGGTTTATATGTTGGATTTGATGACCCTAGTGAATAGGTACCTCATGCTAGGGATTCAACTAATAAGCCCATCATTTTCTTTGCTGCCTGTGTGGCATCGAGTTGCCTTGCTTGAGATAATTCTTGATTGAAAAGCCAGAAAGTGACATTCTCAGACTATCCCATTTATAATTATGCTTGCCAATAATTAATGCATAGGGTTTCTATGAGTCATCTTCTCATATCTACACGTGCGTACGCCCTCTAAAATCCATAGACAAGAAAAATCCAAATTTTAGGGATTCATGATCTAGGCCAAGGTGATCATGAATATAGAAAAAGAAAACAAATTTTTAAAATTTAAAATTTGCTTTCTGGGGGGTTTTTTTTTGCACAGTCCATATGTTATTTTGGTCTAATGCATTATAAGATCAGCGGGCTCTTGCGTCTACTGACTCATATAAAACTGTTCCACAATTAATTGATGCCCTTGAGCTTACCAATAATTTTATTTTTCCGTGATGCACGAAGTTCCCCTCATTAAACAGGTCTTCCCATCATGGTTTAGGTGCATCAAACATAAAAAATTTCTAGCAGGCTAAACATCTTAACCATATAGAGGGTATTGTAGGGCGCAGTCACACACACAAAGGGACACACACTTTAGAGGAATTTTCACCACTGACTATTTGTAAATGCCCTGTTTTTTATTCTGCCACCCTAAAGTCTAAACATGGATGACAATACAGATTGTGCAGGTTTCCTGGTTTGCCATCCTAGTGTTGCGTGGAACATTAATAATTCGAGTGCCCTTCTCTCTCTCTCTCTATATATATATATATCATACACACATATATTGAGAGAGACAAGGGGTAGTGGGGTGGGGAGGGAAATGAGTTTTGTGCCCCTTTAGAAAACCGGAATTAGTAGAGCATACCCAGGTTCAATGTATTTAGGTGTGTAACATTATACTAACCATAGGTGTTCCACATGGCTCCTAGAATGAGTCTCGGCCCAAAAAGAGGTTGCGACTATTTTATTTCAATAGAATGATCATGTTACCCCCAAAAATTTCCTCAATTATTTTAAGGGATTGGGAAAACAGATCGAATTGTGTCTTTAGGGATCTAATAAAAACATTGGAAGTTTTTTTTACTTATCTGAGAGGACCCGCCAAGACTATTACTCCCCTTTATCTAAATTTTCCATGGAAATTTTGTTGGATTTTATTATAGAATGGAGATTGTTCTGGAGAAGGTTTTTATTGGAAAATTTTTGAATCTTAGGGCAGAATTGAAAAAAAAAGAAAAAAAAGATCATGACTTTTGATTCCATACCTCGTACGATAGAACGATTGATAGATTATAATAATTAAAAAGTTCGTTTCTCCCAACTTTTTTATTTATAGTAATGTAATATAATGAACTGGCTCCTTTGAAGACCATGTTAGTCAACCCAGCTCTTAAAAATGCACTCTTTGCATCCCAATGAACAATTTCCTCCTCAACACCCCAGCCCCCCCCCCCCTCCCCCCAAAAAAATACTAATAATAATAATAATAATAAAAAGAAAAAAGGAATGCACCCAAAATTTTTATTTTTCAAGAAAACAATCGTATGCTTTGGATCTGTGCCTTGGGACTTTATGCCCCAAATTTTTGTACATTGCCTTATCAAAATCAGATGACCAATTTTATAGAAAGAAAATTTGATTATGAGTTATTAAAGGCATAGATCTACATGTCCACCAAATGAAACGGCATGTATTTGTTATTAGAGTTTGGACCTTTTCATGGATGAAAGTTCAACCGTTTTCTTTTTTTTGAGGTTGGTGCTTGGGATGACGAGAGTGCATTCAAATACAAATGCCTATGATTTACAAAGAGAAGGGGAAATGGTTGAAGTACCTCTTGATACATATAGACAATTTGTATGGGCTAGTATAGGTGGCTTGGAGTTGTGCTGTTTAGTTTGTTTTCTCTAACTATAGTTTTTCAACTTCATCATGAGGTAGCAGAGTGATATGCCTGATAGCCTCTTTCCTCTTTATCTTTTTCTTTTCATATTTTGCATTTGCAGTTGATTAGGTCTGGCTATTGGTTCCTGTTACATGACAAACTCCTAAAAGTAATTTGTTTTCCTTGAGTAACTGGATGGTATTAATTAGATTGGAGATGCGGCTCTTTCTTAGATTGTTAGTAGTTTCTTTCTTGATTTTTGCAAAGCATTCATTTTGGGGAATGCATTTTACCATGTCCTTATTTCTTTAACTAGAACTACATAACCTCTATGTAACCCTAAGCCCTCATCCTTGAGCTCTAACTACTATTTTTCTCTCTTTTTGTGAACTACTGTTGCAATTATCCTTGGTGAACTACTGTTGCATGAATATCTATTGCTTTTCAATTGGTTTGTTATTGTCAAGGACTTTCAAATGGTTAAGAAATACCTTTTTGTAGTGTAAAAATGTAGATGAAATCGTTGCTGTCATTGGGCATGAATTAGGGCATTGGAAGCTTAATCACACATTGTACTCGTTCATTGCTGTGCAGGTATGCCGTGTACTCGATTAAATTTAGTCATGTTGCTTTCCATTTTTTTAAAAAAATTTCTGATGATTGAGGGCGGATGCTTTCATATATTGTGTAATTAGTTTACAATGGTGTGTTCGAAAATGACTTGTCAGGGGGGAGAGGAATCTATGCCAAGTTCCCCAGACTTTCTTCTTTCATTTTGCTCTTTTCTGATTAATTTAATCCCTGCAGAAAATTGCGATGTAGATATATGCGTGTTTAATGTAGAAACATATTTGTTTTCCCCTCTCTCGGTGTGTGCGCCCTTTGCGTGGTCGTATATATCCTTTTTCCTTGTCTTATACTTCAAGAATTATCATGTTGTGTTCCTGCCCTTTGTTTCTATTTTATTATCCATATATGTATCTAGGCATTTTAGCATGTATGTTTGCATGCAAAGCATATACATGACTTGTTCTTAACTTGTTGATTAAGTCAATTTTAAAACGCCATTTAAGGAATGGCACAGAAACGGAAAAAGTTGATCGAGTTGATTCCAAGAGATCCAAGTCAACCCTAAGCTGAATTTGACATCACGAGCTTCCTCCATAATTGAAGGGTTTATTTCTCCATGGTGGTGGTCTAGTGGTGTGTACACATTGATGTGAGAAGCCGTCATGATTTTACACCTTTGACACCATACCATGGCTGACTTCTATACTTCATTAAAGAATGGCAGTTGGATGTCCTTTTCTTTTCTCTGAATCCATCTGAGATCATTACACTTGTAATGAAAAGTCCCAACTACCCATCAGTAGTCGAATGTTTTTATGCCTAATTTACACAAACAACTCCGCCAAATTCCATTGAATGGGGAATAATCCCTTGTAAGTGTCCAGCGTGTTCCACTTTCCCTGCCCTATGTACACTAGAAGCGGCCTTTAAGTATAGCCTTGAAGGGTATCCACGAAATCATGGATGCTGACCAAGTATTGGGGTATCACGCCAACCACCGGATATGGAGACTTCACCTTGGGCTCTTCTTAATAACACTCAAGAAGTTCGAAACGCCCCCATGCAACCTGCATTCTTTGAGAACAGCCCAAGTTTCAGCAGGAGTGTCGTCCATAAGCCCCACCGATGATGTTAACAAAGGAAAACATATGTAATATAAGATGTTACAATGCTTAGCCAAAAGAATAATATGTGGAGTTGAAAAGCTACGGAGCTCGTACCTAGCTTTACCACTTTGTACAGCTAATCCACCAAAGTTCTCTTGGGATGGAGTCGTAGAAAGGGTGGCCAGGAAATCAGACTCTTCGAAGACTGGATTCTTATCATTGGGGATAGAATTGCACTAACAAAAGCATGTCTCTCAAATCTACATATCTATGCAATGTCTTTATTCCCAATCCAATGTCTGTAATTAGGGAATTGGAGAAACAGATGAGGCACTTTTTGTGGAATGGGTGGAAGTTGAAAAAGAAATTTCATCTGGTTAAGTAGGACATGGTGTACTCTCCAAAGAACAAGGGTGGGTTAGGATCTTGAAAACTTAACAAAATAACCAAGCTCTGTTAGGGGAGTGGTGGTGGACAAATTTTGTGGGCAAATTTTGTGAAGATATACTTCAAAAATTATGGATTAAGAGACAGTGTTAGAGCCAGTAGTTGTGGGCAAATTTTGTGAATAGAACCAGTAGTTGTGGGCAAATTTTGTGAAGATATACTTCAAAAATTACTTACAGTAACAAAATTTCATTAATGATCAATTAAAAGAAGGGTTTTGTTAGGCTACACCACTTGTGGTGTAGACCCTTAAAGTGCTCAACATTTTTAGACATTTAGATACCCTTATCCTATAGTATAGGAATTTTTTGTTTAGGGGTATTTTAAGTAATTAGTCAAGGGTATACTAGAAATTCCTAATAGAAACAAAAGCATTTATTAACAATAGTGGACAATGACATCACCGATATGGTGTGTGACATCACCCACAAGATGCATTAATTGTTTTTAACTACTAATAGAATGCCACTATTTTTTTATAAAAATATCCATTCTACCGTTCTAAATGACCAAAAGTGACCCTGCTAAAAAATTTGTTTTATAATTCAAGGGTATCTTAGTGTCTAAAAATGTTGAGCACTTTAAGGGTCTACACCACCAAGTAGTGTAGCCTAACAAAACCCTTAAAAGAAAGAGCAGATACAAACATTTTATACCTATGGTCATGAAAGACGCTCTCTCTTTGAGCAGACAATCACCATTCAAACTACAACCAAGCATCTGTTCTTCAGGTAGGTCGTAGAGGGATTTATACCTGGGATGTGGTGTTGCAGTTGCCAACATTTATCCATCAAGCCAGGTTACAATCCCGTGAGATTGACATATTTACTCTTGCCTCTTCCCTCACAAACAGTGTTCTGGAAATCGACTAAGGCCAGATATTCGCCACTAGCCCGAGCCAAGTTACTCGGGTGAGCCCGAGTGTACTTGCTCAAATCAAGCCCTATATCATGAGAAAATCAGAACAAAATGAAAAACAAAATAAGAAAATGAGAAAAATTGAGATTGACAAAAGATTATTTTTTTTCCAAAAAAGATGCTTGTTGGCATGGAAAATAACTTTTTCTCAAAAAAACCACAAAATTTCAAGCCCAAAATATCACTTTACAGTCATTAATCAAACAAATCATCATGGGGTTATTGAAGAGGGTTGAATCACGATCAAATGGAACCAATATTCAACAAATTTGGGCAAAAAATGATGGTGGAATCGGTAGAATGGCAGATCCTCAGATATTGTGCATCAGACCATTTTATATGCAATTCAAATAAACTTGCTGGATTCATCGTGATCCAGGCAATAAAATTTGATCAATCCCATTTGACTTATATCTAGCTTTTGTGGGACTACGCATTGATATTGAGTAGGGACATCTAAAGGGCTCTTAATCTAGGGATATGTTTCCACTTGATTGGTGTGAACTGCTTTGGTATTGCGAGCTGTGTGAGGCCCCAATGTACATGGGAAGTGTTGCACGTGGGAAGATTTGAAGTTGAGCTAAAGTTCTCTGATGTTGAGCTAATGTTCTCTGTAAGGATCTTTGGTACCACGAATTCTATAGGAAGAGGTTTAGAAAGTGAGCCTTATGAGATGATTTCTTTTGCTTGGTGTATACAAGTTCACTTCAACTGAAACGTCCATCATTCCACAATTTTGTAATTAAAACTTGAAGGGTGGGAGGGAGGGGATTGCTCCTTTAGGGTTTTAACATCGTCAGGTTGTTGTCTAAGTAGAGGTTTCAGGACAGGGTTCATATACATTGTGTTCAGTGAAATTACTATAGCAAAAAATCACCCCAGCCATCCGTAGTTGACATCTGATGTCTGGGGTGATGTGTTTTTTCCTGCAGTTTCTAACTTAGCTTATCGAATACAAGTTTTAGGAAGTGACCTGCATGTCCTTATCTTATTTTATAGGTGTTTATGAGTTCAAGACAAAGTTGCAACAAACTGAAGCATCCACGATTTCAAAATTTTGTAATTTGAGATTTAAAGAGTGGGAGAGAGGGCCTTTTACCTGAAGGGTTTTTTTTTAAAAAAAAACCCATCATGTTGTCATATGAGTAGAGGTTTTAGGAAAAGTTATGTATGTAATATATGTAGTGAACTTGGTTGTAGCAAAAAACACATCATCCCAACTGGATGGCAGTGGTGTGTCATTCCTATGCACAATGTCTGTTTTGAGTGGTGGAGCAAAACATTGCAGCCGTCTTTGGTTGACATCTAATGGGTGAGGTGATGAGCCTATTTTTAACCGAGGAACAGCAACCCCCAGCCGTCTTTGGTTGGCATTTGACAGCTGGGGTGAAGAGGTTTCTCCTGCAGTTTTTAACTGCACTTGTTTGATACATTTGATGGACTTTGAGTGGAGGAATGAACATATGCCTCAGCCGTACGTGGTCGACATTTGATGTTGAGGGTGATGTGTTTTCTCCTAATGTTTTTAGCTCATTTGATACTTTCCCTTTAGGAAAATTAGCCTCATGATGTTATTTCACTCTACAACATGGTATTTTGAGATTTTGAGTTCTTGACCAAGCGACAACATATGAGTTCATGACCAAGAGACCACATACTTGTGCAAGTGATTTGCGTATGCATATATGCATGTGCCTATATGCATGTGGAGATAGCATTTTATTCATCATCTTGGAATCTTCTTGCGGCATTCATTGTTATAGCCAGATGAATTTCTTATTTTATTTTCAGACCTATTGGTGTACTGATTTCATTTTTAAGCACTCAAACATCTCATTTGTATACATCAAGTTGAGTATGCTCTCGTGCTGTTGTTAAAAATGATATAATTATCTCTGTTTTTAATTGCATACTTGTCTTGAATGTTTCTTTACAATTCAGATAAGTGGGTGTTCTGCATGAAATTGTTGTTATCCCCACTAGTCCAGAATTTTTTTGGTTGAGTTGTGAAACACGTGGCTGCAGTAAAACTGGAGAGAATAAATCATAAATGCTTTAGCCAAAGATGGGTTCTCCGACTTAATTGCATGTTAACAAAGTAGGGAAATAGGAGTTAGGTAGACACTGCATTGGTTAATTACTGCTCCCAAATATATGGACATCATCTGGTTTTCTGTTGCAGATTATCACATTTCTGCAGTTTGGAGGATACACTTTAGTGAGGAACTCAAAAGATCTCTTCCTCAGTTTCGGGTTCAAAACACAACCAGTGCTGATTGGGCTCATCATTTTTCAGGTTTTCTTCTTTAAACCTATTTAATTTCTGGTAATTTTGATGTTTCCTATGGTATGCGTGGTTTTATTGATTTTCATGTATGGTGCGTACTGTGGGTTGACTTCAGCACATGTTGACCATACTATTTATTGCTTTGTTTGGAAGTTGACATTGAAAGGAAAATGAGTACATCAAGTTGCATCTAAGGATACATCTGTTGACTGTACAGTGTACACGTGATAAATTTAAAATGTTGAAATGCATTTAGTTGATAATACTAAGATGTATGTTACCTCGAATGTTGCCAACCAAAACTGGTGCAATTCATATGGAAAAATCCTATCCGATTGCATTTCTGCATTGCTTTCATTTCTGCTGAAGTCAACTTCTTTGCAGCATACCGTCATACCCCTGCAGCATCTCGTAAGCTTCGGCCTTAATCTCGTCAGTCGAGCCTTCGAATTTCAGGTTTACAAAGTCCTCTGTTCATTCTGTGAATACATTTTCTTACATTTGAGCTTTTAACATAAATGTATTTATGCATTTGATGAATAAATATTCATTACTTTTTAATTATCTACTTTTTAACTAAATTCTTTTTCAGGCTGATGCTTTCGCAAAGAAGCTCGGATATAGCACTCCTCTAAGAGCTGCGCTCATAAAACTGCAGGTGATTTCTCTGCTAAATTCGCATTCGAAGCTGTACCTTTCTTTTCCTCTTCATAGTACGTGACAAGAACCTACTGGTCAAAAAAATAAAAAATCTGACATGAACTTAATGACCCACAGGAAGAAAACCTCTCGGCCATGAACACAGACCCATGGTATTCAGCCTACCACTATTCTCATCCTCCTCTAGTCGAAAGGCTTGCAGCACTTGATACCGCGGACAAGAAAGACAGCTAGTGAATCTCACAACTCACATTTAAAGCAACCACAATTGAAAACTGGAGAAAGTTCAGGCTGTTGGCATTTTCATCGATGCCTGTATACAAGCAGCTGAAAACTCATGACATTGTAATGAATAGGAACTTGGTGCATCTGTTGTATCATTTTAATCTTATACAAAAGATTATGACTTCCATCAGACTGAAAATAGTAAGAAATTTAGGTCTAATATCAGGATCACAGAGTCTAGTGTGGGGGAGGGGGGGAAGTAGTTAATCAATTTACTGGTTTCGAGTCTTGAGTGGAGCCTATGGTTCGTTGTTCAAAATTTTGGAATGTCAAATCCTGTAATGACGCCGAAAAGCATGTTTCCACTGGCCATGCTACTGGGTTCTGCTTAAGAACAAAAGTTATTTTGTTTCTTGTTTCCTTTAGAAAGAAAGCGTAATGAGTTGTAACGTTTTAGTTTGTCCGGTACATGGTATTAAGTAATGAATGCGTGCTGCAATTAAGAGTTTGGCGTGGGCGCTTTTTGACACTTGTTGATGAGGAAACTCCTTTGCGCTCTCTCCTACTCTATCCTGGCCGGCGAACTTTCCATTTCTTCCCTCACGCAAGACACAAGTTTGGGATATTTTTTGGATTCCAAATTTTGAGGTACAACCTCTAGAACATAGCAACCAACATCA